AGACTAATGTTAGTTAAATAATTAGTTAATCACTTAGTTAATTAGGTGACTAATAGTGTCTGATTAGATTCCAGAAATAACTTGGGGTTATTCCAGAGGGTCTTCTGTATGGTTTAAACAAGATTGGTAGTCACTAGGATAAGGGAGCAGACAGGGCTTTGGACTGGATTATGCAAGGTTTTCAAAACTCCCCCTGGTTTATTGAGATTACATGGATTAAAGCCACTATTAGGGCCTACTTTGTGCTAAATACCTCCTAACAATTTTATGGTTCTACAGTTATACATTACAGTATTTAAATTCTAAAATGTTTCTAAAACTAAAACATTACTTACATTACCTAATACCAGGTGCCTCTCCAATGCCTTTAAAATCTTCCATTAAAATGGCATCTGGTAAAAATAAACTGTTTGGGACTAACATCTGACTGCTCTGTCAATCATTTTTAGGCTATATCTTCTCTTCACTATTCCTTGAAAATAAGAAATTGAATGGTAGTGGAAACATGTGAAAATCATGGAACACATATATAATACATATGTATGAATTGGTCAAAACACAGTTCAATTTTGAGATCTGATATAGCAATATTCAAATCTGAAACACAATGGTAACAAGATTAAATTTCAAGCTAATTTGGGATTCAGTAAAATATTCACTTCCTAGTCTATCAAAATGCCTTCAAGTATTTCATTTTTTGGCAGGATAGAAATAGAAATTGGGTTTTTCCACCACAAATTTGTGAAATATTCCCCATGTATCTCTAAGACACCAGAGATGATGGGGGGGGGGGGATTTTCCAAATTATGACGCAAAGACCCTACAGAGAAACTATGATCCAGTGCAGGAAGTTCTTTATTTTAAAAATAAAAATGTGTAAAGTTCACATTTATATCCAAAACATCAAGGAGAAACCACTCTTGACCATTTTGTTTCCTGAACAGACAGGTTTGCTTGCATGACATTGTTTACATGAGGCTGAGGTGCATAATGAGATTTGGCTCATTATGCACGTCAGCATCAATGTCAGCATCAAAGAGGCCATGACTCTCCCTTTATTCACATATGGAAAGAAACTTTAATAATGACCAAGAAATTGGAAAACTGAATCACTGAGCCTCCTTCAAATGTCCCTGAAGTGATTTGCAGCATGTGATTTGAACCTTTACATTGATTTGCAGATTCAACTCAAAGGACTGATATGATCTAATTTCCTTCAAATCAAATCAGCCTTTCAAAACTTTAGCATCCTAGTATGCAGAAATTCATTCTACATAGATAAAATAATTTATTTTGAACATAATAAATTCCAGAATTTCAGTTAGTAAGTTTTAAAATATCAAAATAAATAAAATGGTTTTCATGAAAGGAATGTCAATTTAAATGAATTATTTAGTCCAAACACAATTTAAGAAAACAAAATTTCAACAAGAACAGATCACATTTAACTGATTATCAACATGTATGGGCTCTTTTGGAACGTTATTACACATCTCTGTTAAAATCATGGCAATTATCCAGGGCAACATTTTGAAAAAATGGTCTTTCATTTTCTGGTTTATGTGCAGCTAGATATATTTGGACCCTATTAGGACACAGACAGGGTTCTAACTCTGAGTCTCATGAACATTTAACATTATGGAAAAAAAGGTTTTAAACATAAGTGTTTTATTGGAAACAAGGCAGAATCTGGAATAGCTATTTTAAATCAATTACTTTGTAATGATTATTTTGATTTTCAACTACTGCAATTAGAATTTTATTTGTCCAATACACAAATCAGTGGCAATATAAATAACTTTTAATTTCTCAATTAGGATTAAACTACATGTGTCAGCAGCCTCAAGATATAAAAAGCTTATCATTTTTAGTAGAGTCTATGTCTGAAAACAACTGACTAAAATTATATCAGAAATTGGAAAACATTAATGTCAAAATTATTGACACTTATGATTTATAGAATAACAAGCTGGCATACCAAATAATTGAACCTCAATACATCCAAATTAATCTTTCAGAAAATATGGACTGGATTATAAATTTTGTTTGTGGTGGCATAAGAAATGTGAAGGTCCATAAACTCATGATTTAGTCATGTATGCTGCTGATTTCTTTTTGTAACATTTAAGAGATGTATGGGTAAATGTTGTCCAAGTTAATGGCATCTTGAATTATATGCCAAAATTATGGAATATTACACTTTCTTAGAAATATTGGTTATACAGGGAATGGAGAAGAGACAATCAATTATATTAATAGAAAAGTATTATTCTCCAAATACCGAACACTGGATGCAAGAAATGTATAATATAATTATGTTATATTTAGATATTGTATATAATCTATATATTATATAATCTATATTATATATTATAAATGTAATATATATATAAATATATAAATATAATATAATTATAGATTTGTTTAATAATTTCTTTTTCAATTAATTTTCAATTAATTTTTAATTAATTACATTTCTTAGTGCTTAATAAATATTGTGTTGTCTGGGTATTCAATTTGCTTAACAATACATATTACGTTCTTAATATCCACCCCTTTTTTCTAACCATTGATAAAATAGATTCCATGTTTGATAATATTCCATATCTTCTTTCTGTTTCATTTTTAATGTCAGTCTCTCCAAATACTCTAGTATTTTCTTAATTATTTTTTCATCTTGTGGTGTTTTTCCATTTTTCATTTAATAATTACTGAATATAGTATTTTTTTCTACTAATCAAAGAATGTCATAACATGCTTCCTTTTGGCATATATTTTATAAGTCAATATTATCTATATTTAATGAATAATTTAATTCATGATTATAAATGATTAAATAAATATGAATTTAGGTCATTTATTTCAATTTAGCATGTTCATTTTTTAAAAAAAAAAATTCTATGCATCTATCTTATTTTATTTTATTTTTATTTTATTTTTGTTTTGATATTGCAACTTCATTAAAATATTGGATATATGTATATTATTTTTTATTTGTTTTTGTAGCTATTTATAAGAGACACTTTAACTGATGAACAACTCTCTTGCATATGTAGCAAACACAAAATCTGTTCAAAATAATATATTATGCAAACATTCAAGTATCCGAGAAATTTTTTGGCGCAAACAATTTTTATATCCCTAAGTTTTGTACAATATATGCATAATTTAAACAAAAAAGCCAAAACAAAAATTAAAACCTGTTTTAATTTAAATATACCTGTTAATGTAATGCATAAAGCTGGGATCTTTGCCGAGGCCTTTGATACGGGAGAGTTAAAAACCCTTTAATTGTTCCTATCCGGTTTATCATTCTCACTATCTATTCTTTTTGTGGGTTATTATTGTACTTCTCTTATTTTCATTGTCAATGAAAGTCATTGTGTGTCAGACAGCATACAAGATAGAAAGATAGAAAGACAGACAAATAGACCTGGAGTCTGAATTGTTGTCTTATGTGAAAGAACAAGCAGGCTATAACTCTTGAAAACGAATTAAATCAAATAATTTTATTTGCGTTCTAAGGGACATATGTCTTTAATTCAGGTCTATCTCCAGATAATTACATGGATATAGCCATGCAGTTATATTGACAACAAATGTAATGGTATGTGGGAATGACCTTGGGGGGGAGTGATGCTTCCTGGTAAGAGAGGATGTAGACCATAGCTGCATAATAGGTGTATAAAGAGATTCCCCAAATTCTCAGGCTGAAAAAAAGATAGTGGGAGATTTGTACTTCCAGGCTTGCAAGAGTCTCTTGATGCAATCTTACCATAAAGTAGAATTAGATCATTTGGTTGTGTTTCCTGTCTGGCCTACAATATAAAACCTCATTATTGTATTGTAATCTTTCAACTGTTCTTTTCAACTTCATACATAGAACATTTCTAGGAATTCCTACATCTAAACTCTAAGTAAATTATGTGTAGATAAGGCAGGGCCAGGTGCTGCCACCTGCTGAGATATAAAAAAATTAGATACCCTGTTTTCCCCCAAAATAAGACATCCCCTGATAATAAGCCCAATCGGGCTTCTGAGTGCATGGCAATAAGGCCAAGCGCTTATTTCAGGGTTCAAAAAATATAAGACAGGGTCTTATTTTCAGGAAAACACGATAGATAGATAGATAGATAGATAGATAGATAGATAGATAGATAGAGACAGACAGACAGACAGACAGACAGACAGACAGACAGACAGACATTCAATATTATGCTATCAGGAGGAGGAGACAGGGAAAAAGACAGTATTTTTCTTCTGGTATTGTAGCACTGCTAAACCTTTCTCTACAGGTAGTCTTTAATTTACAATGACAATTGAGCCTGGAATTTGGGGCATAAATCATTAAGGTCTTAAGTTTAGTTTTTACAAAAGTCATTAAGTGTTGATTGTTAAGTGAATCATGTGGCCCTTAAGAGAATCCATTTTGTCCAGTGGATGTTGGAAAATGGCAAAAAACATCACAATGTTATTATGTGACTGTGGATTGCTACAACCATAAATGCCAAGCAACCAAAATGCAATCAAATTATCATGGTGGGCATGCGGCAATTTAACTTAAGAACAAGTCTTACATTGAAGACTACCTGTGTATGATCAATTAAAACTTTTGAAGACTATTACTTAAGTCAAGAATTAGCAACACAAATTGTGTCTGGAACACAAAGCACCTCCTGTTGTAGATTTACTTACAGAAAGTCACCAACCATTCCTGAAATGACCAAATCATCATCTTCTAGAAGAAAAAGCAACTGTTCCAAAAAGTGCCTTTGTACACAATCACCAGGGAGCAATCACAGTATTTTCTGATAACTAATTGTCTTGTGTCCAAGCAGGGAAACCTTGCTGCAATATTTATACTAGTACTAGCAGTGCTTAATCTAATGACATACAATACTGTTTGAATTACAATTCTCACATCCCATGATTATTTCTATTTTTCACAAGCACGAAAGCATGATCCAACCACTTTAAGCCACCCTCTTATTGTATTTTAGGCAACCAAGGCTTCTGATGGATCATGCAACAGACCCACAGGAACAACCCCCAGCCTCCTCTGATACCTATCCATCAATCACCAGTGCATGGATCAATCTAACAGGTTTAGCCTCCGTGCAGTAAATAGAGGCACAAGAGGATCCCATGGAGACCATGGCAAGAGAGACACCAACAGCTTCCCCAATTTCAGATCACATAGCCAGAATGTAATGCCTGTCCTGTCTCGGGCTCTGAATGAACTAGGATAGGCTCATGGCCATCATGGTGGCCATAAACTCCCAAATCACCTTAGATTTGAGAAGGCATAGTAAAGTCCCCTAAAACCATAAGTTTGGGTAATTCTATGGCCAACCCCAAAATGGTGTCAAGGCGCTCCAGCAGGAAGGTGACTATGAGTGGGGGAGAGAGGCTGGTACAATGTCAACAGTCCCAACTGATCTCTATAACCCAACTTAATGACCTGCAATGCAGTGTTCCTGAAAAAGTAAAGATTTCCTGGATAACAAAGGCCTCACTCACACCCCTGCCACAGACTTTCAGCTAATACCACACCCCAAACCTCACTCTACATATTTCCAAAATGGCTACCACTTTACCAGACCCAGCCAGATTTTGGTAATACACGCTAGGTAGCCCTGTCATAAGAGAGCCCTTATTGCAGACTGATCTGGCCTGAATAAAAGCAGCTGGAGGCCAGATATTAATATTAAAAACTTCAGAATTATAAAAACCAGAAAACTAAAAGTAAAAATAAAGGTTCCTGTGTAAACAAATTAAGAAAAGGCTCCTATGTATCATCTTTGCACACTCCTAATAATATGTCAATAACTTGCATAGCTTTTAGGAAGAAAATAAAGATCTTAAACATTAAAAAAAACAATGGGAACTTTTCTTTCCCATCTCTCTAATTCACCATTTCATAAGCATCATAGTATATAGTAGGCAATTTTTGAAGGATCAAAACTACTGCATTCAATTTCTTTACTTCCAATTCTTGTCACTAAGTATGACATGAGTATTTAAGGTTTGCTTCCCAGGGAACATTATTTGATGTTGGTTCTGCCCCCCAACCCCTTATACTTTTATATGTACTCCATGAATGTTTCATGCTTGTGGAAGAGTCAGGCTGCTTCAATACTTCTATGAAACCTCATGTCTTTCATTTCTGGCTGAATGAGGGAAATACATTTGCTACTTTTATCTATGGTGGACTTTGCCATCTAGTTCAGATACTTTTTGTGATAAGTAGATAAGCTCATCTTTAATTAAGAGATGACTGTATAGAAGGAAACAGCATTTTAATGTTATGGTTTCAAGCAATTTGAGGAATTATAGGAAAAAAACCACATGTGTAATTCTGCCTAACTGAAAACAAAATAGGAACTACCCAGATAATGCAAGACAGATGTTCTATGGTCAATGAAGTTTGTATTAGAAAGCAGCCTGCCCATTCTTTGCACTAGCTGAAGTTTTGGAACATTCTCAAAGGATATTTCTTGCAATAATAGGATAGATAACAGCATAAAGGCCCTGTAGGCATTTTATCTCGTTCCATCTGGGTAGGAGCTACCCACAAATCCCACTTCATACTCTACAGCAGTTTATTTGTATCATACCAACAGAGAAGAAAAAAACATACTTGCAGACTGGAGGTGTGATTCTTATACTATCTTGTCTAGAACAGGCATTTTAGGGCCCATGGACCACATCTAGCCCTTTGGTTGTCCCTGTCTGGCCCATGGCAGCAACAGTGGGGGGCGAAGTGGCAACGGTGGAGAACCATGTCAGGACAGTGGCGGGTGGGGTAGAGGCAGGAAAGCAGCAGGGGTGGGTCAGTGGCAGCTCTCCACAACAATCCTAGTTTCTCATATGGCTCCTTGGGAAAAACTAATTGCCCACCCCTGGTCTAGAAGCTTCATTTTGACTCCCAGATTTAAGTTAATATTAGAATTTAGATGGAATTGCTGAAAATAATTTATCTATTCTCTCTGTAACAACACCACATATGTGATTGGGAGAAAAACATAACCATCATGAATAAACTGGAGCACAAAGATAAAATGAGTGTCACAGGACACAAAAAGATAAAGGTTACAACAGTGAGCTGGAGATTTTGTACTAAGCAGTGGCTGTTAATGCAAGGATGCTTAATCTATTTTCTGGCATATAAAACCAAATATTTAAACTCTTGCTTAATGTTGCTTGTTTTGTTATAAAAGTAACATAAAATGTTACAATCTGCTATGTAACACACACTAAGATTCCTAAATATTAGAAATGTAAGAATTTAACTAAATTATCTTGTAAAGTTCTGGTGCAGAAGGCGGCCGCGCGGGGGATTATGGGAGCGATGGGGCACTCCCATGTGACACTGCTCCTGCGCGAGTTGCATTGGCTTCCGGTGGTCTTCCGGGTGCACTTCAAGGTGTTGGTCACCACCTTTAAAGCGCTCCATGGTTTAGGGCCTGGGTACTTACGGGACTGCCTTCTGCCACCGATAACCTCCCACTGGCCTGTATGTTCCCAGAGAGGGACTCCTCAGGGTGCCGTCGGCCAGACATGTCGGCTGGCAACCCCCAGGGGGAGGGCCTTCTCTGTGGCAGCACTTGCCCTCTGGAACGACCTGCCCCCGGAGATATGTAAGATACCAGATCTCCATGCTTTTCGCCGTGCCCTTAAAACTTTTTTATTTCATCAAGCTGGGCTGGCGTAACCTCCCCCCTTAGATATTTTTAGATATTTTTAATTGTAAATTGATTTTAGTTGGGGTGTTTTAAATTTATTGGGTCAAAATTTGTCTAATTCTTTTAAAAAAGAATTTAAATTTTGTATGTGATGTTTTTATTCTTGGCTGTTGACCGCCCTGAGTCCAGTAGGAGAAGGGCGGTATAAAAATTTAAATAAATAAATAAATAAATAAATAAATAAATAAATAAATAGTAATGTAACTTGTTGATAATTGTACATAAAAGAATAGCTCTAATATTTATTAAACAGATATAGTTATAGAACATCCCTATATAGGTATCCCTTCGGCCGGGGCAGTGGCGCTTACCTTCATCTTGGCGCTCCTTTGCCCGCCACGTCCGTGCGCTGTGCGTAGAAGGGGGCGCTGCTGCTCTCGCCACCCTCCCTCCCTGCCTGGCTGCAGACATCTGCCTGCCCAAAGCAATCTCCCGAAGCAACCCCAATGTCATTTGCTTTTGTTTTGCGGCGGGAGGAGGACGAAAGTGAACAGTGGCAGTGCTCTGGGAGGGCAGGCAGGCCGCAAACATCCCGGGGCTGCTGCACATGCGCAGCAGCCCCAGGACGTCTGTGGCCCAGCGGCTCTCCCGGAGCACCGCTGCGCAGCCACCGTTCTTTTTCTTCCTTCTTCCGCCACGAAATGAGGCCAAGTTCCTGGAGTGGTACTGGCAGGCAGGTGGCCGGGTGGGATTCCAGTGGGCTGCTTCGGAGCCTGAAGCCCCGCAGAGCCGGCACGGGAGGCATGGGTGGAAGGCAGCCTTTTCTGCAGCATCCCCCTCCCCTCTTTGGATTGCCCTGCAAGGGAAGTCTCTGCCTTTGCAGAAATAGGGAGGGCGGTTTGTACAGAGGATTGGCGGGGGGGATGTGGGTCCCTTTGGGATGGAGAGTGGGGCAAGAGAAGGCTCCGAGGTTCACTTGGGCAGTCAAGCCAGATGGCGGAGGGAAACTCAAAGCAATGGGGGCTTCAGAAGGGCAGAAAGTGCTTCAGAATGTGCAGCTCCTGGCTCTAACAGTGAATGATGTCAAGTTGGCCACGCCCACCTAGTCACATGCCCACCAAGTCGCACCCACAGAACCAGTAGTAAAGAATTTTAGATTTCACCACTGGATAGGACAGTTATAGTCAGAGTCTTATTACCTAGTGTTCTTTAATTACTGGAAAATTTAAGTGGCCTTTGAAAATCAACAGCAAGGCTTCAAGATTCCAACCTATATTTTTTATATAAAATCTTTTCTTTGCAATGCAGAACCACGTTAATATAATATTCATCAATCCAGAAGCACTATGTTGTAAAATATAACTATTAAATATTTCTGATTATTTTTATAGAAATTGAGGCAGCTTGTAATTTTATCAACTTGCCCCAAAATGTACACTTCCTGAATGCAATGTACTAAACCATATACCTAAAATAGAAAGTGTAGAAGATGGCTAGTAAAACATATACTGACTATACGGGGAACAAATTGATCAGCTACAATCAGTGGTGGATTGCCCCCGGTTCCGACCGGTTCACAAGGACCGGTAGTAAAACCGGAGGGAGGCTCCGCCCACCGCCTCGGACGTCGTCATATGCGATCTGCGAGCGAGCGATCCCGTTGTGAACCGGTAGTAAAGGTAGGTAGAACCCACCCCTGGCTACAATATTACATGAAAGTATTTATGGAGCATTGAAGTATTTCTCCTCAACCAAAAATTTAAATTCCAAAATAAATTCATTCATTCATTCAATTTCTGTAGGTGCCCAAACAAGTGGCTTCTTGTGGCTCCTGAATACAAAATATATGCTATTTCATTTTGATGCTCTGCTTTAGCCAAGATAATAGAAAAATACAGTGCAATGTTTATTGTTTTATTTCACAAATGCCTATTCATACAATATAATATTTCAAAAAAAGGCTATATACAACAACAATACTGCAAACCACTGTATAAACTAGAAAATCTTGGCACATAAAGCATATGCACTATGTGTGCAAAAGTAAAGCAAAAAGTAAATATAGCCCAATTACTAACTAAAAATAAGACAGCCCAAACTAGAATCTGAATTTGAAAACAGTAACTTTGTGGGAAGATTTAAGATCAAGTGCTAACTATTTACTAATAAGTGTATATGAATTCAATTTCCATCTTATAAAACCTGAAAAAGAGCTTTATTAAGTCAATCTACTGAACTGCTAGTAAATTTAGTTATATGAATAAGTTATGTATGGAAAATTACCACTTAATTTGGAACTATAAAAACAGCCCAGTTCAGGACAATCCAGAATAGTTTCATCTGACTCACTGTCTGGCTCCAGAGCACAATACAGGGAAAATAAGTGTTCACTATCCCATAATCTAAAATAGAA